TATGTGGGTGTTGTGACACCTACCTCTATTTTCAGCTTTTGGGAAACAAAGGAAGACTGAGTTCAAGAACAACCTGAGACTACACAGCAAAACCCTGTCTCAAAGTATTCCTTTCTTTTGTGAGACCTATCATACCTCAAGACCACTAGATCAGATAAAAGAATGCCTGGTAAGAATTTGGGATGCTCTTTTCTGCACACTGGGTGAAATCATGTTCTTTATTGCATTTTTACAGATAAATGAAAATCTTACCAAGTTAGAGATTGCTGATCTGGCTTGATCCATCATTCTGAGCTGCCACAAGGAAGCACCTAATATTAGAACAGAGAATTAATATAATGAGATAGAGATCGCTGCATCAGATTAATGAGGGCCTTCCATTACTATGCTATGTGAATTGCAATATCAAACTTGCTCCTAAGTATACTAGAAAAGCTTTGTTTACTAAACTGGAATCTCACTAGGGAGTTCTATCTGGCCACTAACTGAGATCCTACTATGTCAACTTCCCAGAACTGAGATTACAAGGATGAACCACATCACCTGCGTTTATAATTTACTGGATAGCAGAGGGAAAGCTATAAAGGTCAGAACTGGGACATGGGACAAATAAGAAATCTGAATATGGCTAATGTTATTATATAATGTATTATCAGATCATTGTTCTTAGACTAAAAGTTGAAGAATTTAATAATCCAGCGTTATATCAACCGGGTGGTGATATGCACACCTTTAATCCCAGCACTGGAGAGGCAGAGGCAGATCTGAGTTTGAGCTGTCAGCCAGGGATACACAGAAAAACCCTGTCTCAAAACAAACACCACAGAAAAACCAAACAAAAAAGAACCTAAATTACAGAAAAAAACTAGTTAGAATACTATCACCTGTAAGTGTGTTCAAGTAATCAAAAGAGAAAAGGGGTAGTAGTGACCGCTTCTTCAGTCTTACTTGGTATCCAAAGGGACAAATTCAAAGACAAACTATTCCCTGGAAAAAAATTGTAGAAAAGCCAGAAACTAAGAGAATTAAGTCAAGACTGTCATTCTCTTTAACAGTGAGGCCTGGTAACACAGACTGTAATCACTGAGCTTAGAAGGATGGAGGAGGATGGTGAGTTCAAGGCCAGCCTGAACTATATGCAGACCCTGTATTCAAAAACAAAACAGTCAGGCTGTGGTGGAGCATGCCTTTAACTCCAGCACTAGGGAGGCAGAGGCAGGCAGATCTCTGAGTTATGAGGCCAGTCTGGTCTACACAGAGAGTTTCAGGACAGGCTCCAAAGCTACAGAGAAACCCTGTCTCAAACAAACAAACAAAAAAACCAATCAATCAAACAAACAAAAACCATGCTGGAGTGTGTACTGGGAGGTTGGTGGTTTCCAGGCCTTGAATCCCAGCACTCAGGTGGCAGGTGTGTGTGTGTGTGTGTGTGTGTGTGTGTGTATGTATGTATGTGTGTGTGTGTGTGTGTGTGTGTGTAGGGGGACGGAGAGGGGGCCTTGGACAGACACGGGATTCCTAAAAATCTATTCACCAATATTCTTGAACCCCCATGCTTCAATGATTAAGTCACGTGCAAGTGATCATACATGTTCTCAGAAGCACAATCTCTTGCCCCTTCTGTTACCAAGTTTATCACTACCACTGCACCAACAGACCCAATTGCTAGAGCCAGAACTAGAAGGCCCCACCCTGAGCCAATTTTAATTATCCATCATTCATTAATGTTTGCCTGAAATAGCTATTCCTAAACTATTCTCGTCACCCAAACTATACTAATCTTAAGTTGACATCTATTTAGTTTTGCTATATTGAGGATCCAACCAAGGAAGGACACTTTATCCATGGTAAGTCATCTACTGCTTCACCATTAACATAACATTTAATTAAATAAGTGACCTAAATAAATAAGATTGAGCATTTTGAGTTTGAAGAAAACAAGCTGGTGGTATTAACTAAATTTGATTTTGTATAATCATAATCCAAGTACATATTCCCCCCCCAAGAAATGTGCTATTTCAATTTTAATCTACAGAATCAAAATTTAAGAAAAAAAAATCAAGCCAGAGCCTTTAATTCCAACACTTTTGAGACAAAGGCAGGTTTATCCCCATGAGTTGCAGGACAGCCAGGGATACAGAGACCCTGTCTCAAAATAATAATAAAAAAAAAGGCCAAAAAAAAAAGGTCAAAAAATTATCTTAGGAAATTTAACCCCATCACTAAACTCTTACATTTGTGAACACCAGAGTAATTCCAAAATAGCCACAAAGGACCAGACCTCAGGTAAAACAAATCCAGTTATGTGTAAAACTTAAGTCACTCACTTAAAACCTCACATCTTTAAATTTTGGGGTTTTGGAGGCAGTGTTTCTCTGTTAACAGCTCTGGCTGTCCAGGATCTTACTTTGTGGACCAGACTGGCCTTGAACTCAAGAGATCCACCTGCCTCTGCCTCCCCAGAGCAGTGCCCTCAATGCTCAGCAACATAGCTTTATTTATAAGAAACTCTTTTGAATTTTCTTCCAAGTTAAATCACTGAATCTATATTCTGCAAGCATGGCAGTGACATATACCAGCTAAAACACCATTCCAACTATAAGCTGGTAGCTGTTAATGGGTCATACCTAAAAGCAAAACAATTCTCATTTGGCTTATTATCCCAAGATTTCACCAATGCCAACAATCTTTGACAAGAGAAAATTAATCTTAATTTTTCTCACATTAGCTACTTATACATCTTTGTTCCCAAAGATTAGGAAACCTATTCAATTCTAATGATAAAATTTAAGATAAAATAAAAACCAAGTTTCACATTTTGATCCATGACTTTAACTTTGAGCTATGAGATGGCAGACAAGCAAAGATATTAGCCAAACTAATAATCTCAAACCAGGGCTCTGTAATTAATATAGGGATGATGGGTGGGGTGAGGCAGAGGCAAAGTGAGATACCAAAATACCATGAAACAGTAAGTCATGTATTGGTTCTGACAAGCACACTTCATTCGATAATGAATCACATTCAAAACCTTTCATCCAGATCTTCTGTCCCTTGTAAGTTCACTGCCCACTATCCTCAAAACTAGACAGCATCCAGTCCCTGACTTTACCCAGCCTTTCTCTGTTCTTTGACATTAAAAAACACTACAGTCAGAATGACCTTAAACTCAATGATCCATCTGCCCCTGCCTTGCCAAAATGGTGGGATCAAAAGTGTGTGACACCATGCCCCCATGTTATGGTCTTGTTTTAAGAGCCTAACTTAGCTGGGTGTGGTGGCGCACGCCTTTACTCCCAACATTCTGTAGCAGGAGCAGGTGGATCTCAGGGTCCCAGGAGAGGCATGGGATCATAGTGTGACTCTCACTGGGAAAGTCTTTATGGGCTTGAAACGAGAATAAAGATGGCCGGCCTTCACTTCCACACAGCTTTTTGAAAAGAAACTCAAAGGTCAGAACCACTTGGGGGTCACTCAAGTTTATTTTGAATAGCACTCATTTGGGAGGCCAGAGGTTCATTTTTAAGTTACTTTTATTGTTGTTTAGTTCAAGGTTAGCCAAGAACCTTGCTCCATTATAGATAAGCACATTGCCACAAACATAACTGCCTAGCCTTAGGGTGGAGTTAGCCACACTTGATCTCTCTGTCCACAGTCACCAGGGTAGGTTCAACCCACCTTTCCTTGACAGCATTCCCTTAAAGTGTTATGTTATATATAAAACCCTTTAAAAATATGATAATGGATTCCTGTATAAAGCAGAATTTTATTATAATCCCGAACATAAAAACAAACAAAAAACTAAGAGGAGGACCCACACTTTGGAGAGGCTAAATTCCATTTTCTTTGCAGATAAAGCCCTGAATCAGCTTAAATGTCTTCAAAGAGGTCATATTTCATAATTCAGAGCCAACTGCATTAGCCACCTAGCATTCCAAATCCATCTAATCCTAGAATAAAGGTATCAGGCAGCCGAGAGAATTTCTGCAACACGATTATTTCCCATTTCAATCCTCATATTAAGAAAAAAAAAGGCCAAAGACACTAAACAGTCCAGTCCTCTGGATAAATAATGCAGCAAGATCATTTCATTGTTAAGTGTTAAGTGACGAGTTAGCAAACACGGTTTTCTTATCCTCCATCTCTCTTTTAGAGAGCTGTCCAACACTGCGAGCACGGTGACTTTTCTACAGTTATTTCTAAATAGCTCTTACAAAGACGACTTATTCCTACAGTCTCTCAGCTTGAGGGCCGCTAGCGACCTTCTTAGTCACCTGCAACGTCAGATCTATTCTGCCCTGGAAAATGAGATTCCACACGCAGGGCCAAGAGGCGGAGAGCCTGGCAAGAACGACCCAGGTGGTGCCGCAGTTCCAATGTGCGGGTCTTGGAAACCCGCCAAGTGCCCAGGACACTAGTAACCGAATAGAGCACAGCTTTGACCTGTTCAGCAGTTGACGCCCGCCTGCGAGGAGCCCCAAGGTCACCCACGCACCCCAACAGCCGTTCCCTGGGGCGACTTCCTGGAGCCGCCACCACGTGTTCCCAGCGGACCGAGCCTGCGCCGCGGCGTGGTGGCCCTTCCACTCTCGAACCCGCGGTCTAGGGCCGGCCTGCGGCGCCGATCCGGAGGGCGCGGGGCACGGCGGCTCCACACCCACCCCTCTGCACCTGCAGCCCGGGCTCCGCAGTTCCCCGCAGCCTCCACGCACGCCGAACGCGGGCCCTGACCTCTCGCTCTAGTCCGCCCGCAGCCCGCGGAAAACGAAGGGCCGCGCCACTGACAGGCGAGTCACTTACGCTGAGGCGCCTTCGCAGTCGGCCTTGGGTCGGCCCGGGCTCCACGCGCTTTCTGCAGGGACAACTGCCTGCCAAGCCACGCTTATAGCCCGGCCCCGCCCACTGCCTGCACGCTCCGGGCTTACGCCATTTCCGGCCGCACGTACACCTACCGAGGTGCTCGCTGCAAGCAAAAAAAAAAAAAACCACTGGAAGCGAGACGCTCGCGCAGCTAGTGCGTGCCCGCGGCGTTCAAGGGAAAAGGCGCCAAGGCGGCAGGTGTCGGGAGGGCGCCCGCGATTGGCTAGGCCTTTCTCCACCGCGCCCCTCCCCCGCGGTGTCGCCGCAGCTGGCGGGTCGCCCTCCCCCCCAACTGTGACCGACCGTCGGCCACGCCATTCAAGGTCAGAAGTGTTAGCCTTTACTCTAAAACGTTCCTGCAGGCGGTGAAATGCAGGTTTTGGTCTCCGCTGAAACCATATCGTGTTTTGCAGCCTCGAAATGCTTTACAAAGGAAGTACTTTTATGTAAAATGCAGGTTTTTTTAAAAAGAAGATCTTCACAGGCAGCACTTGAGCCCAGCAAAGAGCTTCCCACGCTTAATAAAATGAGCCGGTGAGAGGGGAAAATAGAAACCTATGATAAGATTGTAGATTAACTAGTATGTTTATCGCCATTGTTGCTGTTAGAGGATTGTTGCAATGCATAGCAAATAAAAGGAGTTCCGTTAAAACTGCAAACATTCACACCCTTTTCTTCCTATCTGTAATTTACTGTCCAGCCTGAGATAAATTTACAAAGAATTTACAAGGAGAGTGTGTCCTAGACCACAAAAGGATTACAGATAAAGGACTCCCTGGTAGAGTCCTTAGGGCCCTGGAAATGTCTTAAAAAGTGCTACTTCTCAGCCTCCACCGCTTCGGCCTTTGGTTTATCTGTTCTAAAAATGCAACAAGTATTTAGGATTTGCTAACTGCTGGTCCCTTTATAACGTACTCGTGTCCAAAATGTACCACTCCCAAAATATATAATAACTTTATAATCTGGAGCACCACTGTAAATTTTTAGAAGATCAACTTCTTGCGCTAGCCATTAAGGGATCTCTTTGAAATTCAAACAATAAACCAGGCATTAAGTTGCTCACCATTTTTAAGCCTTTGTCAGAACACAAACAAAATATCTCATAACAGAGATCTGCCTGCCTCTGCCTTCTAAGTGATAGGACCAAAGCTTCACTCCACCACTGCCCAGCTACAAATAATAGTTTTATATTAATTAACATGAAACAATAATGTAAACACCAAAGAGGAAGTCATTTTTTTCTTTTGATGCCTTTATTAGTGACAGGGGACTCGATGCAATTAAATCCTTTATTAATCCTTTTGACTGGAGATTTGCAGGCTCCTCCTCCCCTGAAACTTTAAGAAAATAAATGTGAATTCATTCTTCTTTGTTATAAAGCCTATTTATACTAAGAAACAATTTTCCTTTGCCTCCTATTCCATACAAACATTGATTGCCTTGTTATCATTACTAATAGTTTTCTCTCTTCCCACTTCAGGAGGCTCAGTAGCTTACAAGCTTACAATGAAAAATGATTTGGTTAGCCATGTGTAATGTTCAATGCCTTTAATCCCAGCATTTGGAAGGGAGAGGCAAGTGGCTCTTTGTGAGTTCAAGGCCAGCCTAGTCTACATAATGAGTTCCAGGATAGCCAGAGCTACATAGTAAGAATGTCTGGGGTGGGGATGTGGGGGAGACTAAACATGGTTGGGTAATTTTTATTTAAACTATCCATTTTCAAAAGTCAACCTTCCACAAAATGCTTTTAAAATAAAAGCCAACAAAGGAATTCTTACAGTTCCTCAAAAAGTGTGCATAGACATAATGTCACATGTACTAGAATTTTCACAAAATTTACTGAAACCAGGCTTGGTGGCACACACCTTTAATTTCAGCATGCTGAAGGAAAAAAAAAATTCCCATAACCTTGAGTTTGAGTTTGGGGGTTAATAGCTTAAAGCTTGGAGGGTCCAAATGCTGGAATTCTCAACTGCCTTAAGCCTTGAGCTTTCCTTTCTGTGGATTTAATAAGCTAAGGCAGGTAAAAAGCTACTGAAACTGAATGTGGCTGCTCAGACCTTTGATCCCAGGACTCAGGAGGCAGAGGCAGTCAGATCTCTGTTGTGAGATATTTTGTGTTCTGACAAAGCTTGTCTGGAGATTAGAGGGTGGAGCTAGCTACTAGTTTACCATAGAGGTGTAGAGGTCTATACAGAGGAGACAGGAAGTGATAAGGCAGGGCAGAGACAGGATTTTTGGCCCTTTAAGTCTGAGATTTTGTAGGTTAAGAACTGTAGTGGCTGACTGCTTTCCTTCTGTGATCTTTCAGCTTTCACTCCCTTATAACTGACTCCGGTTCTTATTGATAAGACCAATTGGGATCGTACTTCGGATCTTGATGGAGTTGCAGGACAGCCAGGGCTATACAGAAAGACCCTGTCTTGGGGAGAAAAAGTTACTGAAAATGACTGGCACATTGTAGACTCTAGGTCAGCATAGGTGGAGGCAGTTTACAGGGTGTATTGGGTGAGGCAGACTTGGAAGATGTCTACAGAACTAGGTAGGATTTGAACTCATGGAGAGGAACAAGACATTCCATTGGAGAGTGGTTGGAACCTCCAGCTCAACCCTGCAGGATCTGGAAAGCCCAGTTCCTTACTCTTGCTCGATGTCTCCCTCCCTCCCTCCCTTCCTCTGTCTCCAAACCTGGTCCACTCAAAGAGTCTCCAAACAAAGGAAAGACTCCACAATGCCCAGTTCCACATTCTTGGAAGCTACTACATCATCTCCCCTTGTCCACAACCTATACTGTCTCCCTGCTTTTATTTGTGGGTGCAGTTCCTCTGGCCTCAATCTCTGGGACTGGAGAAACCACCTGGGAGTTGCTTTGCTCAAATAAACCTCTTATACTTTTTCAATTGAACTTGATCTGGCTTACAGCATCAGCAGAGAAACTTATCATGGGAGGCAGAAGACCAGTCAGAGCGCAGCTCCACTCTGAGTAGAGACTAGTGTCAGGTTAAAATTCTACTCCTTGGGTGAGAGTTGGTTCAGCTGCTAAGAGCACTGACTGTCCTTCCTCTGGAGAACCCTTGTTTGATTCCCAGCATCTGCCTACACAGAGGTTCACACCCAACTGTGACTCCATTTCTGGAGGATCCAGTGCCCTCTTATGACCTCCTCTATCTGTACCAGACATGAAGTTGGCACACAGACATACATGCAGGCAAAACACCATAAACATTACATTTTTTAAAATGGGGCTGGATGGGCTGGAGAGATGGCTCGGCAGTTAAGAGCACTGACTGTTCTTCCAGAGGTCCTGAGTTCAATTCCCAGCAACCACATGGTGGCTCACAACCACCTTGAATGAGATCTGGTGCCCTCTGCTGGCATGCAGGCAGAAGACTGTATACACAATAAATAAATATTTAAAAAAAATAAATAAATAAAATGGGGCTGAAGATGTGGCTCAGTGGTTGAGGACACTTATTGCTCTGTCGAGAACCCTAGCTCAGTTCTCAGCACTCAGCACTCACAAGGGACTCTCAATCTCCTATCTCTAGAAGATCTGTCTTCTAAATTTCTCTGGCACCAGACACTCAGGTGGTATATGCATACATGCAGACAAAAACACTCAAGACACATAAAGACAAAGTAAATACTCAGAAAAGAATTTTAAAATAATGTGAATTAATTAAAAATTCCACTGTTACCACCTATTTGTTTCCACCACTGTATTTGTAAAAGATGCCTTCATTTATTATTTGTTGTTATTGTTCTATAACTATAAAAATATCACAGAGTTGTTTTCAGAGGAATGTGTTATTTGGGACAATTAGAATCTTCACTCCTTGGGCCATGGCCACTCATATTCGGTTCAAAACTAAACTCATTTTTCCTTTGAAGTGAGAGCCGGGTCTTGTGTTGACAGAGGTAACAGCATTATTATGTATTGAGTAATGCTGTATGATGGGAAAAGATATGCAAAGAATGGGGTGGGGGTCTGTAGCACCAAAAAGCCAAACAGCAGAATATGTACTTAAAGAGCAACTATGACAGAAGTGAGTGTGTATAACAGTGGAATGCTATTCAGCCATGAAAAATGAAATCCTATCAGGACAGACATGGTGCACACCTTTAGTTCCAGCACTCTGAGGAGGCAGAAGCAGGAGGATCTCTGAGTTCAAGGCTATCCTGGTGTGCATAGTAAGTTGCAGGATATCCAGGGCTGCATATAAAGTCCCTGTTTGAAAAAACAAAATAACAACCAAAAAAAAAAAAAAGAAATTCTGTCATTTGCAACAGGATGATGGAAATTGGGAGTACAATGGTGGACACCGAGTCTGAGGAGAGGAAAGGGAGTGGGAAAACGTTGATCAGTAAACCGAGAGACAGATAGGCAGCAACAAGAAGTGCTGAGAAGACAGCGCTTGCCACCCAGAGGTCAGAAGTGGAGTTCAGATCCCTGAACCCACACGAAAGCTGGGTGAGCATGTGGCCTCTCTGTGAACCCAGCTCTTGGGAGCACAGATGGGATTCCCGAGGCAGAGGGGCAAGCTGGACTAGTGGGAGAGCCTACCTCCAGGTGCTGTGGGAGACGCTGTCAGAAAATCAAGTGGAGAATGGTTGATCTCTGGCCTTCACACCCATAGGCATGCATATTCACGTGCATCTACATACACATGAAAACACACCCATGCACACACACACACTACATATATACAGGAGAAAGTGTTTTAAGAGGATATAGGTGCAAGGGGTTCCTGTGTGATTTCTCACAGTAAGGTTCATATAATAATAATCTCAAGTTCCAGGCCAGTCTGATTTACGCAGGGAATTCAAAGCTAACCTGTGACATCAGCTTCTAGAAAATATTTTGAATGCTTTGCCATAAAGACAAAATTAGTGTTTAAATTGATCTAAACATTACACACTGGCAGGATAGTGGTGGCACACACCTTTAATCCCAGCACTCGGGAGGCAGAGGCAGGCGGATCTCTGTGAGTTCGAGGCCAGGCTGGACCAATAGCCTCCAAAACAATACAGAGAAACCCTGTCTTGTAAAAACCAAAAACCAAAAACAAAAAAACAAAACAAACAAACAAAAAAAAACAACAGTCTGTGACAGCCAAATGCACCAACTAAAAAACTTGTTCTGTCTTCATAGAGGCTCATCTGTGGCTCTATCTGGTTCCAAATGATTACGTAGATTGTAGTTAATATGTGTCTGTACAAAACGAGGCCAGAAAGGGGTGTTTTTATTTTTTTTCTTTATTTTGTCTTTGTTATTTTGAGGTAGGGTCCTTCTTTATAGCCTTGGCTGTCCTGTAATTAGCTATGTAGACCAAATGAGTCTCAAACTTGGCAGTCCTCCTGCCTCTGCTTCTGAATGATGGGATAATGACAAGCATCACCACATCTGGCCAGTTCCAATGTTTTTGTTGATGATTTATTTATCTTTTGATTTTGTGTATGTGTCTTGCCTGCTTGTAGGTCTGTGTATCACCTTCATGCCTGGTGCTCTCAGAGTCAGAAGAGAGAGTAAGATCCCTGAAACTGGAGTTTTGATGGTTGTGAGCCATCAAGTGGGTGCTGGGAACTGAACCTGAGTCGTCTGTAAAAGAGACCAATGCTCTGAACCACTGAGCCATCTCTGTAGCCCTCAGTGTTTTTAATGTGAAAGTAAAACTGAATGAAAATACTTTCTCCTTCTCAACCCCAGCTCTAAAAAAGGACCTTTACTCCCTGCCCTCAGAGAGCAAAGTCCTAATACACATCTCATGTGAGCTACAGACTAGGTACCAAAAAGCAACCAAGTTGGGTAGGGGAAGCGTTGAGAACACAGATCTGCCAGGTGATGGCACACAGGGGGGAAAGGCTTTGAGCTTTTGGGATTTTGGAATTTTGGTTTTTTTGTTGTCCTTGTCTCATTTTGTTTTTTGGCTTTGTTTCATTATTGTTTGATTTATTGGGTATTTTGTTTTGTTTTAACTGGTTGATTTTTTTTTTTAGACAGAATCTTTCTATGTAGCTCTGGCTATTCTGAAATTCATAGAAATCCACCAGCCTTTGTCTCCCTACCAAGTACTGAGATTAAAAGTATGTGCTACCATGCCTGGCCTAGTTTTGAGATTTTAAAACACTAATATGTTTTTGTTGTTCTATTTTATTACATAAAAAAACAGGCTGGGTGTGATGGCACTGAAAGACTGTGAGTTCAAGGCCAGCCTGGTCTATAGAGTGAATTCCAGGACAGCTAGGGTTACATAGTGAGATCCTGTCTCAACACCTTCTTGCCCCTTCAAAAAACAAACAAACTAAAAAAAAACCAAAAAACCAACCAAACACAAATAGCATTTGTCTGTTCACTTAATAAATGTTCCTTATGGAGTACTGTGTGTGGCTCAAGTCAGTAGTAGAGTCCCTTTGATCAGTGTTTCTCAAGCATTTTTAACTGTGCACCATGGAAAAGCGTGTGAGTACGTGCGTGCGTGTGTGTGTGTGTGTGTGTGTGTGTGTGTGTGTGTGTGTGTGTGTGTGTGCGCGCGCACATGAGTTTCATGACAATATGCATACTATGTACAAACATACTGAAGTTTCCTACTCTCTTCATGATCCAGATTATAAAATGCTGCTTTGAATCCATTCGATTGACTTCCTGGTGGGCTGTGTGACCTGGGTATGAAAGCATAAGGAAGAGCTTCAAGGCCCTCTTTCTCGGGAACAAACCTTCCCAGTGAGCAGAATAAAGGACTTACTTAAAGTGAAGGTTTCTCCTGGGTCCTCTGCCCATTGCTTCCACTCTCTACACGCTGCACTTGAACAAATATTGATTTAGGCTTTGAGTTGGAGGCTGAGGCAGAAAGACAGATGCAGGAAGCCTTTTGAAAGGCTCTCAAGTGGTGACACATGCTTTGGCTGGTGATGGCTAAGCAGGTCTTCCTAGAGGCCTCTAGACCACTCTCACCCACAGTGAGTTCTGACCACAGCGCCTGGGTAACATGCTGTCTCCTTTCTCATTTCTGTGGAACCGAAGCCCAGGGAAACAACTTTAGATCCAGACTCATAAAACTAAGATGTGAAACTCTGGTGCTTGGGAGCAGGATGGGGTCCAGAGAGCAGCTCATACTCTCCAGGGTGGTACTATTTCCCCATCTCCTTTTTTCTTCCGATACTAACTTGGAGCCCTTTGTTTTTCTGTCCTTATACTAACGGCCACATTATGGTCTTGTTTCCCCAGGGCAAAAGGTAAACTCACAAAAGATTATAGAACAGAAGCAATATCCAAGCTAATAGGAAGGAGTCTGCCCCACTTTACAGCAAAGTCCAAGGTTATTTAGGTGGGGAAAGCAAGGTAATTAATTTATAGTTAATTATAAGGATGTTTATACCCACCAGTATAATGATGTGAAGATATTAGGCATGAGATTTAGTCACACTTGGGTAAGACAGAATTAATTTCATAATAGAATTTTCAGTTTGGAGCAATATTAACTCTTGTTGGCCTTGACCTTAGTAAGTGCTCAGTAAATGAAAGGTAGATTCATTAAATACCACTACTTTATTCAAATAAGTGGCTAGGGTCTCTCTTACTTCCCCAATCAGAGAGAAAATTCGTCTCAGAGTTTTGGGTAGTTTGAACTATGTTGTTTAGGTATGAAGCTCCCCAATCCTGTGTTGGAGGCCTGGTCCCTGGCTGGTGATACTATTGCCAGGTGATTAGATAGTGTATTAAGTTCATTATTGGGTGAATATATTCATATGTTTGTTTTTTTGGAACCTCCAGCTCACTCCTGCATGATTCTGGAAAGCACCATTCTTGTCTGTCTGTCTGTCTCTGTCTCTCTGTCTGTGTCTTTGTGTCTGTCTGTCTCTGTCTGTCTCTGTCTCTCTGTCTGTCTCTGTCTCTGTCTCTCTCTCTCTCCAAACCCTGCCTGCTCAGAGAGTCTCCAAACAAAGGAAAGGCATCAAAAAACCCAGTTCCACACTTTTGGCGGTCATTGTAGCTTCCTCCCCAAAGCTGCCAGCTGCCCAAGTCACCTCACTGCTTAAAGTGTTCAACTTTTGACCATCTTTGGGTACAAACCCAGCTCATGGCAGACACGTTATCACCCCTTGCCTACAACCTATACAGTCTCCCTGATTTAGTTTGGAAGTGCAGAATCTCCAGCCTCAATCTCTGGCACTGGAAAACCCCCCCCCACACACACACCCAGGAGTTGCTTTGCTCAAATAAACCTCTTGCTACACTTTTTCAATGTGACTTGATCAGGCTTTCTGCTTCAGCAGAGGAACTTATTATGGGGGTGGGGGCGCATAAAACTTGTTAATGTTCACAGCTGATTTGGTTATTAGGAAGTGAGGCTAGTTAGAGGAAACTGCTTTCTGAAAACTGTGGGGTGACCAGCCTCACTCCACTGTGCCCTTTGACCATGATGTGCTGTCTCACCACAAGTCTAGAAAGAGATTACCAGGTGACCATGGTGGGAGCTAAAATAGGTCCTCTTTTAGTCATTCTTGGATATTTTGTCACAATGGCAGAGATATTAACCAGCACACACCAAAGAAGGGTCTTAACTCTCCAGAGCTGTGTTCCCTCCTTTATTTTCAGTAAACTGGATGCTATTTGAAGATTGCTTTGCTGTCCCTAGAAATCCTTCTCATGCTGAGTGTCCAGACCCCCTTCTTCTTCCATGATGAGGAACTCTAAGATCAAAACCAGATCATCAGGAGAAGTAGCAAGTATCTTTACCCACTGGGCCAGATAATTCTAAAAAACTTCAACTTTGCATTGTAACTTTGCAAAAGGTCCCATTTGACAACCTCATGCAACCCTATTTCCGCTTCCTTGACAGCTGATTTCTTTACACTCCCAGGATCTGAGGACAGCCAGTGAACTAAAAGAATTATGTTAATTTTGTTTCTAAAATGTCAGTGAGCCACTTTAGCTTTTCACATTTTTATCTACTCTTTCATCTATCTGAATTTTTCTGCCTCCATAATTGAGATCTGATGTCCAATACTTTTGATAAACTGTGTAGCATGTGCTCAAACATTGACTAAGCTGAGCGTGGTTTTGCATGTATGTTTGTTTATTTGTTTAGATTAAGAAGAGGCCTTTGAAAAGAACTTTGTAGCAGTTGATATAATGGGAAAATGAACAAATGTATAAAGAAAGAAGTCACTTGGCTCAGCAGGGTGGCTCAATATGTAAAGGTGCTAGCTGCCAATCCTGACTGCCGGAGTTTGATTAAAATTGTTACACACACACACACACACACACACACACACACACGAAGAGGCTACAAGAAGACAAGGAAAAATAATCCCAAGTCAGCAAATTCAACATGCAGGAAAATATCAAATCATCATTTTTTTGGTCTTCTTGGCATAATATGCATAGTAGACAGAATTTTCCTGTTTGGAAAAACAGTTCTGCCCAAACTTTCATTTCTTAGACATGGAAATGTGGTCAAAAGGCAACTTTATGGTGGTCACATCTGGGAGGGCTGGCCTGGCTTCCTCTAGTTCATGCCACCTGAGTCCTAAATGTGGGAAAAGTTGTATTCCATGGCTGGGGTTCCCAGGCCCCAGGGTCATCTCAAGTCAACCGAGTTCCTAAACTATGCAGATTCAAAGCTGGGTGCTTGTATATGTCCTCTTATCTGGCTTCCAACAATTCTGTAAGTTGGGAAGTCTACCCATTCTATAGATGAAGATGACAAATAATTGGCTACAAGTGACAAAACTTTTAACAGCAGAGCCCAACTTTAAGATTCTTTGAAGTCTTGAGACTCTGTCTTAAAACCACTTTTCACTATATACTGGGAACTGAATTATTTAAATTATAATTTAGAAGACAAAAAATGGAAGCTTTGCTTTAATCCAAGCACTCAGAGGTAGAGGCAGGTGGGTCTCTGTGAGTTAGAGGCCAACCTGGTCTACAGAACTAGTTCCAGGACAGCCAGGGCTGTTACACAAAGAAACCCTGTTCCCCCCCAAACAACAACAACAACAAAAAAACAAAAATAAAAAAGGAAAAACAAAGAAAAAAGATTGAAGCTTTGTTTTCACTATAGAAGGATTTACACCTAGGCTCCTGAGCTTTATAACTGTCCATCTTGGGATTTTGATGACAAGGTCACAATTAAGCTCCTCCTAAAAACAAAACAACAACAATAAAAAACCCAAGTCAACAGGTCAAAAGTGTGCCTATGGTTACTCTCCCAAATGCTCCCTAGAAGTGGCCTCCACTGCAGAGGGATTTATAATCAGCTTGACTAATGAGCTGAAGGTTCATGCCTCCTGACCAAACCATGGTTAAAAGCAGTCAACCTAAAGTATAAGCATAACAACTCAACACCCAGCTTGCATAAGAGTATTACTTCTGGAGACTGGACAGATGGCTCAGAGGTTAAGAATGCTGGATGTGAGCCAGGCACTGGTGGCGTATGCCTTTAATCCCAGCACTCAGGAGGCAGAAGCAGGAAGAACTCTATATCTGTGAGTTCAAGGCCAGCCTGGTCTACAGAACAAGTTCCAGGACAGGCTCTAAAACAATACAGAGAAACCCTGTCTCGAAAACAAACAAGAAAACCCCAAAAACCAAAAAAGCTGGATGTAGATGGGGGAAGTCCTTCTGTATGCTGTGAATATGTTTCTCTTATTGGTTGATGAATAAAGTTGTTTCAGCCAATAGACTGGCAGGATGTTGCCAGACTGGAAGTATAGGCAGGGCTACCAAATTAGAAGGCTGGGAAAAGGAACACAGAGGAGTTTCCAGGGAGATGCCATGTAGCTGTCAAATGGGTAACATGCCAGGACGATACCGGTAAGCCATAGCCTCATGGCAATACATTGTTTAATAGAAATGAGCTAATAATTAAGAGAGAGGCAGCCAATAAGAAACCTGAGCCATTGGCCAAACAGTTTACAATTAGTATAAACCTCTGTGTATTTATTTGGGCCTAAAGGACTTTGGGACCTAGTGGGAAAATCTGTCTTTAGGCTGTTCTTCCAGAGGACTGGGGTTCAATTCCCAACACTCACACATTACACCCACATGTAACTCCAGTTCCATGGGATCTGATACCCTCACAGAGACATATATGCAGACAAAACACCAATGTGCAAAAATTAAAAATAAGTCATCTTTAAAAAAAAAAGAGTATTGCCGGACGGTGGTGGCAGAGGCAGGCGGATCTCTGTGAGTTCAAGGCCAGGCTGGACGGACAGCCTCCAAAATAATACAGAGAAACCCTACCAAAAAAAAAGTATTGCTTCTGAGCTGTACACAAACTTTTAATCCCAGCACTCAGGAGGCAGAGGCAGGTGGCTTTCTGTGAGTCTGAGGCTAGCCTGGTCTATAGAGCAAGTTCCAGGACTGGCTCCATAGCTACTGGGAGACCCTGTCTCAAAAAAACAAAACAAAAGGAAAAAACTACCCCCACCCCACCCCCAAAAAAGAAAGGAAAAAGAAAGCAAGAAAAAGTGCAGCTTCTGAAACGGCTCCAGTGAGATCTGAAGCTTTGTTTATAACCCTCACTTCTGTAATAAAGTCAAATCCAGAAGTCAGTGTGAGTGATCGTAACAGCGAGACTGAAATGAGAACCTGTGATAGGAGCCCACCCTACTGAGACTGCCCCTGCCCTCTTCATTCCAGGAGAACCTGGGGCTAAGACGGAGCTCTCTCACCGTGACTTCAAGAGAGCACATTTCCCCACAGGAGTCAGGATGAAAGTCCCTTTCCACAGGAGCCTTGGCTCCAG